CCCCAAAACCCCAAAACCCCAAAACCCCAAAACCCCATGGTGTTTAAATTTAGTTGAAATAGATTTAGAAATAAGGGAAATTTAGTATGGACAGCTTTGAAAGTTTATTGGAAAGTTTGAAGTGAGATGTGTGACTTGATTCTATTCAACAAGAAGATGATGTCCTTGTTCAATGCAGCCAGTGTCTTGTTTGAGTGCATCAGCATTGATATGGTAGTGATCTTGTACAATCAGATATCACACCGGAGCATCTTTGTAATTGGAAATGTAGGTTATTTAGAATTTGTAGCTTAAACCTTAATTAAGTGATGATTGAGATAGAACCTAACATCAAAACTAAGTATGAAAAGGCCTAAACAAGCTTTATCAAAAATTTCTAGAAATAATGACTTCAGATAGGATAAAAATTTAAAGGGTTCTAATTGATCCAGTAGAAAAATAGTATCTTTAAATGGCATTTCTTATTTTTCTAAGGACTTCTAATTAAGCTTAATTGATTTTATAGGTGCTGAGTGAGCATGGAACGAGACACATTGACAGTTAAATCAGAGCACTCCTTGCTTTATGTGCAAGCAATTTGGAGGAGCCATGAAGAAATATTCGTGAGTATACTATCCAAAACCCTCATTATTCCATAATTTTTAAAATTTTATTGTTTTAGAGCAGAAAGTTGGGCACATATAACATGAATAAACTGGAACAAATATATTTTCTTTCAAGATAAGTTTAAGTAAGTTTTTAAACAAATCTTTGAGGGGCTTTTAGGTCTCAATAACTTTAAGAAAATTCTTCTTTCTATGCTTATATTTCTAATAGAGACTCAACCAATATTTCACTTGAGATGCTTCATTTGTATCAGAAACCAGACACTCTTTGTTATATATGAGAATTTAGCGAAGGAGTAATGATTAAGGTATGCCGAGCTATCAATTACATGGGGTTAGTACCTTTTTAAAGACTTACATCAAACCTTTGAACTCTCTTAAAATTAATCCTCTTTATACTAATTGACCATTTTATTCGAATAGTGAGACAATCGAGTCTGAAAGCTCAATTTCCATGTCAGATGAGGCATCCAGAAGGGGCTGATCAAAGACTGGCAAACCATGAACATGTTCCGCAGAGATGATGACGACTTGTAAATAAACACTAATGCTTTATTTAAATTATACTTTAGTGACTGAAATGTATTTTGTCAAGACCATTTGGAAATATTTGAAGAGAAAAGGTTTAAATTCCCCCTGGAAATTCTCAATAATAGAAGAGAAGCAAGGAAAGCTCGCAAGGCGGTCAGAGACTCTAGGCTTAAGAAACTTCGCCAGCAGTATGTTTTGTGTCTTAAATTTTATAGAAGGAAAACAAAGAGAAAGAGACATAAGGATATTGTTAGAGAATGGAAGGAGAAAAAGGTTAAGAGAGCATACTATATTCATTCATAATCATTTGAACCGAACAATAATAGATGTCTTCTTTATGACACTAATTTTAATAGTGATGGATACACTCTTTCTATAAAATAGTATAAAAATAGAGCTGAGAGAAATTATTCAGACTAGAGTCTAGTCTAGTGTCTTATGATTACTCAGAGGTTTTAATTATGATGCTTTCAATATTTCTATATCCTCTTGGGGTTTTGGGGTTTTGGGGTTTTGGGG